CGCCTTCCACTGCCCCAAAAAGCGAGCCCAAGGATCACGTTAGCACCGTGGACCTCGACAATCGTTTCACCGAAGAGACAGAGCCGGAGGATGAAGTAAGAGACACTCCTCCATCAACCAACGAGCATCCCATCCATCCAATGCGCCCCATCCCAGACGAAGACTTCGAGATCGTCACCCCCGGGGAAGACACGATGAGGACTGTGAAGATCGGGGCGGGGCTGCCTGACCTAGCACAGAAACAGCTGAAGGCATGCCTCCGCGAGAATTCCGACCTCTTCGCCTGGAGCGCCGCAGAGATGCCCGGACTCGACCCCGAGGTCGCCTGTCACCAGCTCTCCATCAACCCAGCCGCTAGGGCCGTAGTACAACGTAGGCGTAGATAGTCCCCTGAAAAATCGTCGGCTGCTGAAAAAGATGTAAAAGACCTCCTAGAGGCAAAATTTATTTCGGAAGCCCGGTATTCAACCTGGCTGTCCAACGTTGTACTTGTTAAGAAAGGTAATGGAAAATGGAGAGTGTGTGTTGACTACAACGATCTCAATCGGACATGTCCTAAGGACGCCTACCCTCTCTCCAACATTGACAAGCTCGTCGACAACTCCGCGGGCTTCAAACTGCTGTCCATTATGGATGCGTACTCAGGGTACAACCAGATCCCCATGGCTGAGGCCGACAAGCTGAGCACTACCTTCATGACCAAGTAGGGCAATTATTACTACAACGTTATGCCCTTCGGCCTGAAAAACACCGGGTCCACGTACCAAAGGATGATGAACAAGGTCTTCCGAGGAGAAATTGGCGACATGCTCGAAGTCTACATGGAAGACATGATCGTCAAATCCTGCACGGCAGTCGACCACACGACTCACCTCAAGAAGGTATTCACACACATATAATGAAGCGGCAATGTACTCGACCTTGCAAGAGGAGAGTGCAACTACTTATTCCTTATTCGAACACCACGAGATTGATTTTCCTGCGAACATAAAGATATATCTATTTGTAGACTTTCAATCATCTTTATCTCTGCACCAATTGGAATCGCTGAAATAAAGAAAATTTCATTTTCTGCCTGTATTACATGCGGGAAACAGAATTCCATAGCCAACAAAACATTTGACATATCTTATGATCCTCTTGACTGCTGTCAAGTGAGACACCTTCAATCGTCCCATGAATCTACTTACAATACATACACTAAATCTCAAGTCCGGTCTCGTATTATACAAATAACACAATGATCCAATTAACATCCTATATTGAGTTGAATCAACATCTTTCTCGTCCTCATTCTTCCACAATTGTATACTCGATTCAACCAGAGAAATGACAATATTTCAATGCTCCATTTCAAACTTCTTTAATATCTCAAGTGCATACCTTCTTTGGTACATGAGCAATCCCCTTTTGGACTTATGGAACTAAATGCCAAGGAAGTATGTCATGAGGCCAAGGCCGATCTTCTCAAATTCTTTCATGAGTTCACTCTTGAACTTAGAAATTCACTTTTTGTTGATGCCCGTTATTAACAATTCGTTTACATATAAACAAAGGATAATCAATCTTTCACTTGTATCCGTCTTCACATACACTCCATGCTTGGATACACATTTCTTGAAGCCAAACTACTTTAGGAAATTGTCTATTATTTTGTTCCAAGCTCTTGGAGCTTACTTCAAACCGTATAACACTTTCTTCAACTTGTAGAACTTTAGCTCTTAGTTTCTCACAACAAACCCAACGGGTTATTCTACATACACCTCTTCTTCAAGCAGTCTGTTCAAAAATGTAGATTTGACGTCCATTTGGCACATGAGCCAATTATTGTTATTCGCAAAACCAACAACTAGCCTTATGGTTTTAATCCTATCAACTTGTGTGAATACCTCTTTGTAGTATATCCTTTCTCTTTGCATAAATCTCTTTGCAACTATTCGAGCCTTATACTTGGTTAATTCACCCTTGGGATTTGCCTTCACTTTAAACACCCATTTCACACCAATTGACTTCTTTTTGTCCGGTAAATAACCCAACTCCCAAGTATTATTCTTCTCAAATGATTCCATCTCCCCTTTCATAGCACAAATCTATTTTGGATCACTCAAAGCCTCTTAGTGGGTTCAGATTCGATCATAAGTTCAAAATGGAAGAAATCACCATCATCATTAACTTTATTGTCTCAGAAAAGCTCACAATCTTGGAGTCTTTGAGGCAAAACTCTTTGTCTTGTTGATCTTCTCACATTTTCTTCAATTTAGGCTTCATCAATGGGAATTTCTGAACTTTCCGTTTCTGGAGAATCTGAATTTTCAAAGCTGTATTCGGTTACAGTTTTTACGTAATCGATTACAGGTTGTTGCGATCCTTGATTTCGTCAATAATGACGTCTCGGCTGGTCATAAGCTTCCTCTTTTCTGCATCAAACAACTTGTAACCATTGGTAGAGTGATACCCTACAAGTATAGTAACTTATCCCTTATCTTCTAGCTTCTTTCTAAGCTGCCCCAAAACATGTCGATATGCTACGGAACTAAAATCTCTCAAATGGTTTAGATTTGGTTTGAATACCGACCATGCTTCCTCCGGTGTTACCTCCTCAAGCTTTTTTGTTGGAAAACTATTTAAAAAATAGGTAGTTGTGGATACCGCTTCTCCCCGTAACTCTTTTGGTAATTTTTCCCCCTTTAACATGCTTCTCACCATGTTCATGATCGATTGATTCTTCCTTTCGACAACACAATTTTGTTATATTATATAAGATGGTACAACCTTGTGTATAATCCCTTCTTGATCACAAAGTCTCTCAAAGTCTTTTGAGACATGTTCACATCCACTATATGTTTTGAGCACTTTGAGTTTGTGACTGCTTTACCTCTCAACCATGGACTTGAACTTCTTAAACACTTAAAATATCTCATCCTTTCTCTTAATTAGGTATGTCCATAGCTTTCTATTATGATCACCGATGAATGTGACAAAATATATTTTGACATCAATGGAATATACTTGCATAGGTCCACATACATCCGAATATACCACCTCAAGGTAATTATTGGTTCTACAACCTGCATCCTTGCTAAATTTATACTTATGTTGCTTCTCTAGCACACATTCTTCACAAATTTCAGCTGATATATTGATGAATGGCAACCTCACTACCATTCTATTCTTTTGCAAGTCTTTGAGATCTCAGAAATTGAGATGCCTAAGATGATAGTGCCATATCCAATCTTCTCGATTAGTCACTGTAGCAAGACATATATGTTACTTAACCTTCAGATCATCCTTGAAGGTTCTATTTGCAGCCATAGGACTTTAAGGACCAAAACTTTGTTTGCATCCATAACACGCAACCCTTGTTTTTCATGTGAATGTTATCTTAAGAATTTCCCAATACTTAAAAGGTTACATTTGATTCTTGGAATGTACAATACATCTTTGATCAAGGAATGTCCACCATCCCTTCTCATGATCAAAACATCACCAATCCCATCGACCGCTAGAGTGGTGTCATCCACAAACTTCACTTTTTTCTTCATGGCACTATTGATTTTAACAAACCAATCTTTCCTCCTTGTCATATGAGTAGAGCATCTCAAGTCCAAATATAATTCCTTAATGCACTAAATTGCACCTTTCTTACTCATCATGACATTTTCTTCTATATGTAACCGGTTAACGCTTTTATGTAACCAATTACAATCTGTTTTTGCACCATTCCCAAAATTGTTGCTAATGTTGTCCACAGCCTGTTGTTGCTGCATTCTGCCTCTCTGATCATGACCAAAAGTGTATTGTCTTCATCAAACTCTTGTCTTGCAACATTGGCTTCATCTCTTTGAGGTTCCTTATTGTTCGTATTGCACTCTTTTGCAAAATTACCAAACCTTTGACACCTAAAGCATTACTCCTTACTTTTGTCAAACCTCTTCTTTTCACCTCTAAAGTTGCCTTTACCACCATTTTTGTTGCAGCTGCTCTCACCTCTTTGACAAGTTAAATTCTTGGAATTTTGGGACTCTCTTCCACCAAAATTCTAAAAATTCTCCTTTACTCTTCATGTGCCATTTTCCTTTCGATCTCTTGTCCTTCTTGTTTAAAGGAGTTTGCAAAGTGAACTCCGCCTTTACCTCATCATTATTTTTCTCCTTCATCCTTTACTCATGAGCCTCAAGAGAGCTTTGCAGCTCCTCTTTGATCATCTTCGCAAGATCCTTCGATTCCTCAATTGCTACAACCATGTTGTCAAATCTTTGTGTTAAAGAACGCAAGATTTTCGTGACAACATGCTGTTATGTGACAGTTTCGCCACATGCCTTCACTTGATTCACCAGCCGAGTGATTCTTGTTGTGAAATCATTGATCCTCTCCTTTTCCTCCATTTCAATCCATTCAAGTTGACGCTTTTGAATTTGTAACCTCACCACCTTCGGCTTGTCAGCCCCTGCGCATGATTTCTCTAAGATCTCCCACGCTTGCTTTGACAATTCACAATCACCAACTTTCTCAAAGTTGTCACATTCACACATTGATGGATAAAAAACAACGCCTTAAAATCTTTCTTCTTCTTTTCCTTATGCGATGTTTGTTGTGCAGCCATTGCACCTTCAACAAGAGGATTCACCATGTTCTTGATCACTTCAAGAACATCTTGGTAATCAAACAACACTTTCATTTTCTTACACCATTTTTCTAAATTCTTCGCATCAAAGATAGGTAAGTTTGCATGGATTCTTTTATTGGAGACAAAATTCATGTTGCACACTAGGTGTTTGTGGATCAGAACTAGGCTCTTGATGCTAAATTTTGGAACTTGAAACCACAAGATTGGGTGAATGTGCGTGTGTGTGTGTGAGAGAGAGATATATTTCATTCACATTGACCACAAGATTACTATGCTATTGTTTAAGCACTTATTCACTGTTTTATGCTTATGAAGTAGTAGCATTTTTTCTGCATTTTTGATCATATAAACTGAGCACAAAGGACACATACCATCAATTAAATTTTGAGCACACTTTTCTAATCTCTCCATCATAACCAGTCTTCACATCTACACTACTCAACTTAATCATAGCCTTTGGAAATTCATAATCAAATCTTATCCCCAATAACCCTCTAATAATCCCTCCATAATTTTGCACCACCCTTCTAGTAGCAGAATCTTCCCACAGCCTCTGGTCTGACTCTAGAATCGCATTACCATCCCGCACATTCTTGAAGAAACTCACATCAAATTTGGCTGGAGTATCTTTATCCAAAGCCACCTTTCTCAGACCATCGCCGTTTTTCGGACATATTACTTGAAGTTGGGATAAGAAAGCTTGGTTAATAGTAGGATCAGCATTGCCAGTTGGTGTGAAATTGTACATTCGATAACTGAAGAACCTGCAATCTGTCTGGCCTATTGTATGTGCACCTTCACACAATAGAAGATTTTATGTTATGCGTATAAACCAAATACTAGGAACATGTATGATATGTCTGCAAAAAATTGGATTATTGTCAAAAAGCTTACCGAGTAAGGTAACAAGGTCATGATCATCTAGACCTTTGGCAGCAAATTTTTGTCTGTGGACAGAAACAGGTTCAAGTGGAGAAGGCAAGTTTGAGGCTTGAGACGATAAAGAAATCCTTCCATCTCTCCTTCCTGTTGGTACTAACCAACTTGGGCCATCGGTCTGTCATATTAACAAATCATAAGTGATAATTTTATCATGGTTCCTTCAGAAAACACAAGGTGCTGTGCATGCGCGTGCGAGCGTGTTTGAGTAGGTTTTAATACCAAATCGACAGCATCACGGGCTGCTAATGCTAGGATGTCAGCACAAGAGACAACTCCAGGGCATATGGCCTCTATTTGTGATTTTGCGTTGTCTATCACTTCGAAACCTCTTAGACCAAGGTTTGTCAATGCATTCCTTTCTGCGGAGAACCCTGCAATCAATATGGATCCATCGCAGCCCTGTGGGAGTGCAAGAGATATTGTCAAATGATGATGTTAGCAACATGTGTTTATACAAGGAGGATGGTTTAGCTTACTTGGACAAAGCAATCATGGAAATGAAGTCTGAGCAAGGCAGGAGCAATGGTTGGATCATTGTTGAAGTAAGATACAACTGTGGACCGAACGATGGACTCGGCTGTTGGACATGAAGTTGAATAAAACCCGGTTTTCAGTTGGGCTTTAACTGTCAAAGTCATCACCAAAATCACTAGGAAGCACAATTTCACAATCATTTTGTGCTAACACAGTGAAAACTGAAACAAGTATTTTTTGGACACAACTTCAAACTTGGTTTTTATGGTTCTCTTACTCCGTTGCTTGCAGAGAATTGGTATCACTGATTGTTAGTTATATATAATATTTTGTTTCTATACCATTGAAATTTTCTGAATTATTTTATTCTGAAAGTGGATTATAAGCTGTTGGCCAGTTAGCCAAATACATTTTCATAAAGTGAAGATAAATTAAAAAAAAAAAAAATGATTCTTCAACACAAAAAATGATGTAAAAATGCACTGTCTTTTAATTTTTATAGGTATTTTTCAGATTTGAACATTGGGGAGGCCTTTTCATAACTCTCTCTTCTTTTCTTTAATGGATCTGCTTTATTCCTCTCAACTTTTTTTCTTTTTAGCTCTTTACTTGGTTTTGTTTCGTTCACACTAGTTGGTTCATATATATTTAATTGAAAATTCTTAGGTATCCATCACTTTCTTACCACAATCTTAAATGGTGCAACAAATTAAAGTTGATTTACTATCAAGCACTAAGAAATAAATACTAGTTTAATTACAATCAGATGAAGCAGTAGTCTACAAAACATAGCCATGTGTTAAATTCTCTTATATGTTAAATTACATTAGAAGTTCCTAGAGCTTGAAGCCATAGAACTGAAGTTGTAAATGCAAACAAGTTTTGTCTTTTTCTTGCTCCTCACGGTTTATGCAGAGGAAGCTTTACCACTTGTTATTATTGATCAGGCATGGAAATTCAGATTCTAGGAGGAGGACTTGTAGCAATCCATGAGGTAGTTAACTCTTTCAAAAGGAAAATGATTAACAGTTTTGGTTCTGTCAGAAAATACGAAATATCTGCTGCTAAATTGTAACGTGTATTGACATTTACATGACGAAGAGGAATAACTTACATAAGTTTTGGGTTTGCTACCTTATTTTAGCTCTCACGATACATTGACAACTTTAACAATAAGATAATTTAGGCCGTGTTTTTTCATTGATCTGTTAGTTATTTATATACACAATACAATTATGTGGTTATGATTTTAATAATCATTTGTAATCAATACTAATAATAATCTTTCTATATTTACATATCTAATACACCCCGTAGTCGAAACTGGAGGTGAACGAATATTAAGACTATCACGAAAGTCATCAAAGAGTTGCAACAGAAGTCCCTTTGTGAAAATGTCAGCAATTTGAAAATGCAAGGGAATGTGAAGAACGCGTACTTGACCGTAGACAACTTTCTCACGCACGAAATGTATATCCATTTCAATACGTTTGGTGCGTTGATGTTGAACAGGATTGTCGGAAAGATAAACTGCGTTGATGTTGTCACAATATACCAGAGTAGCTTTCGTGACAGGACAACATAGTTCCAAGAGTAAGTTGCGTAACCAACATGATTCAGACACATTATTAGCTACACCTCTGTATTCGGCTTCGGCACTTGAATGAGACAAGGTATGTTGGCGTTTTGTGGACCATGAGATCAAGTTGTCACCGAGATAAACACAGTAGCCGAAGGTAGATCTTCTTGTGTCTGGACAATCGGCCCAATCTGCGTCTGTGTAAGAAATGAGTTTGTCGACGGATGAAGGGTACAAATGGAGGCTGAAATCTATGGTACCATTAATGTATCAAATAATGTATTTCAAGGTAGACATGTGTTGAGTTTTTGGATCATGCATAAATAAACACACCTGTTGAATTGCATATAAGATGTCTGGTCGAGTGAACATCAAGTATTGCAATGCTCCAGCAAGACTACGATATTCGATTGGATCATGGTAAGGGTTATCGGAGGAACCACTAAGTTTTGCCTTTGTGTCTACTAGTGTGGAGGATGGTTTGCAGGAGGACATACCGGCTCGTTCGGTAATTTCTTCTGCATATTTCTTTTGAGAAAGAAAAAGGCCTTCGGGATGTCGGGTGACAGAAATACCCAAAAAATAACTTAGAGGTCCCAGATCCTTCATGGAGAATTCGGAACTCAGTTGTTACATAATAGATTCTCTAAGAGTGTCAGATGATGCAAGAAGAATAATGTCATCCACATACAGAAGAAAATAAGCTATCTCATTGCCATGATGATATATAAAAAGAGAGTGACCCGAAATACTGTGAGAGAAACTCATTATAGCTACATAATCAGTAAAGCGCTGGTACTAGACACGATGTGTTTGTTTGAGACCATATAGATATTTCTTCAATAAACAGACATGATCAGGAAATTGAGAATTACGAAATCCAGGAGGTTGGTGAATTTATATTATTTCATGAAGGTTCCCATGCAAGAAAGTATTTTTTAACATCTAATTGATGAAGACACCATGATTTAGATAAATCAACACTTAGAACCGTTCAAATGGTCGCCGGTTTGACCACCGGGCTGAATGTGTCACCACAATCAACACCCGTTTGTTGATTTGCACCATTACCTACAAGGATAATTTTGTATCTCTCAAAGGATCCATCAGATTTCTGTTTATGCCTGAAAATCCACAAACTCTGAATAACATTAGCATTAGACGGACGAGGAACTAAGTCCCACGTCTTATTTTCAAGAGCATCATATTCGTCTTTCATGGCCATTTTCCAATTTTGATCATTTAATGCATCAATGGAATTTGTAAGTAGAGGAGATATGGAGGTTGAGGTTGAGGTATGGAGATTGAAGAGTTTGCAAGGTTTAACAATACCGTGTTGGAATCTGGTTGTCATTTAAGGGGAGAGAGGTGGTTTTTGTTGTGAAGGTGGAGGAGTCAGAACTGATGTAGTGGATGGGGATGAGACGATAGTTGGTAATGATGGATTTAGAGGTGATGTTGTGGATGGGTCGGATGCTATGGTTGGTGAGGTGTGATTGTGGAAAGGTGACAGAGGTGAATTAAAAGAAGATGGTGATGGTTGGTAAATGTTTGTTTGAACTGGTATAGTTAGGGGTGGAGTATGATTTTGACGGTTAGAGGGTGGAGCACTATAGGAATAGGGTGGAAGGAAGGGTGTGTCGTCATCCAAAAAATTATAGTCAACCATTGTAGGAATATTTAGATTAGAAAATGGAAGCTTAGTTTCATCAAAAATGACATGACGGAAAAGTAAATATTTTACAGCTAGATAAATCACTGCATTTGTATCCTCTATGATTTGAGGGATATCCTAAAAAGACACAAGGTGTGGGCTGAGCTTGTAACTTATTCCTATATGATGAAGGGATGAGAGAATAGCAAAGACATCCAAAGACACGAAGATGAGTATAGGCTATATCTTTTTGGTAGAGTATTTTAGTGGGTGATTGCAGGGAAAGCTTTTTATTTGGAAGGATATTGTGTAGGTAAGTGGTCATGTGTAGTGCATGATGCCACATTGATGAAGGTAAAGAGGCATGGGCAAGAAGGTACGGATAATGTTGTTTATGGTACGAATTTTTCTTTCAGATTTTCTATTTTGTGAGGAGATGTGAGGACACGAAAATCTAAATGAAATTCCATTGTTTTTAAAATTATGTTTCACACTGTCACATTGAAAACATTTACTTTTTCTTTCAAATTGTGTTTCAATGTGAGTTCTAAATTGAAGAAAAATGGAATGAACCTGAGATTTTGTATGAATTGGAAAAGTCCATAAAAAAATTGTGTAATCGTCAAGAAACAACACATAGTAATGATGACCTTCTGAACTAAGAATTGGTGAAGTCCAGAGGTCACTGTGCACAATATCAAAAGGCATAAAAGTATGAGACACAGAGCTATAAAAAGGAAATTTTATTTGTTTTCCAAGAGGGCATGAATTACAAAAGTAATTGTTCCGAGACTTATTACATTGGAGAAAGTTGTCTCGGTGTAGAGAACTTAAGATAGTAGCTCCTAGATGTCCTAAACGGTTGTGCCATAATTCTGTGGATAACGCGACAAAGGTGGATGGTGGAAAGTTTTTATTAGGTGGTCTTGTGGCAATGGGATATATGTCACCAGAACTGTTACATCTCATTAACAGTATTCCTGTCTGAAAATCCTTCACAGAAAAACCAAAAGGATCAAATTCAACTGACACATCATTATCTATGGTAAATTTACGAACAGGGATAAGATTTTTTATGAGTTTTGGTGCATGTAAAATATTAGGTAATTTTAGAGGATTAAGGGAATTTGGTAATGATGCATGTCCACAACCAATTACAGGAATATTTTGACTACTACCGACAGTAATATTATTACTCATATTGAAGTAGGTCGTGAGATTACCTCTGTTGGCCGTCATATGCGAGGTTGCTCCAGTGTCCATGTACCACTGATCATCAGGAGTAGAAAGTGAGAGAGTATGCATGGAAGCTTGAATATTCGTTGGAGCATATGAGGAGGTTGGCACTGTATTGGTGACATGAGCTTGGTAAGATGGCTTGGGACTAAGAATGTCGTGTTGTTCCTTTGGATTTCTTACTGTTGGATACGGACAAGGTGGTGTAGCCCAAGGTTTCCATGGTGGAGGGATCCACTATTGATATTGATTTGGGTATAGTGGATAAGCCCACTGTTGATGTGGGTAATATGTTGAAGGCCACTGCTGTTATGGAGCACGACCTCTGTCACGTCCACTGTTTCGCCCTCGGCCTCTTCCATGCTGTCCTCTGCCATTGCTTCAGCCACCACGATTGTGGTTGTCGTTTTTGCCACGGTTAGGACGGGATGTCGATGAATCAATTGGTGCGTCATTGTGAGATGCCATGAAAGATGAATTTTCGACTGAGCTTGACACCTTTTTTTGCAGTGTTGTTTCTTCCAAAATGATCATGGAACGAGCTTTATAGAGTTGAGGAAGTGAATCAGCATGACAAATTTGGGATCCCACAACAGCATATGCATCGGTTAGTCCCAAAATGAGTCGAAGAACTAAACATTCATTTGATATAGGGGAACTAACATTAGCTAGTTGATCAGAGAGAGACTTGAGATGCTGACAATAGGAGGAAGCATAAGAAAATTGCTTCA